ACATTCTGAAAAGGCGACACATAGTATCTTTGTCTCCTTCGTGTGTGTGTGTGTGTGTGTGTGTGTGTGTGTTGTCAAGTTTTTATCAAGGTGATGTCTCGGTGACTAATTACAGTATATAGAATTTTACAAACATACTGCATCTATGAGCCCGAGTGTGTGGCATTAAAGTATCAAGAACCGCTAAATACAGACCTTGAGGGAGACAACTATTGTAGCAAACACATTAACAAGTAAAATAGTCATGCAGTAAGTAAATGATATTGATTTTAACAAGTAACATTTTAACATTCAGCCAATCGTGTTCAGTTGGTCGAGTCGATGACACCCAGATGCTCGTTGTTGTTGTTGTTAATCAGCTGATCGTGGTGATAACAAGTGGACGATGGTGGATCACGTCAATGACTCTAATGCAGACCTGTATTACGGTGGACCATTTTCTGAGAGAGCGTAGTGGCCTTCTGAGCCCAAGCACTGTGACCCCAACACACACCTGAGACGTGACTGCTTGTAGGTGTGGTTTACCTGTCTGCCCCGACCACCTTAGGGATACCGTATCTTTTACCTACACCACCAGTCACACCCCAGACTGAGCCACACAGCAAGGACGTTAAATGACACCTGGAGACACAGCACTTCATAATTACCTATCATTTGTGTCTGAACGTTAATACTTCCTTATAAGCTAAATACCTTAACTAGATTCGTGTGTTACCGTACAGCAGTGAGCGCGTGAACCTTCCGCAAGTAATATTGTCCTGAAATTGTGAAGACCATCATTCAGACATAATATAAGAACAGGCGATGACAACACCCACACACTCTCCTATAGCACAGGGACACAGGGACACAGGGACACAGGGACACAGCACCTGGTGGACACAGAAAAAGATGTTTTACTCGATACACTGAGGCGAGAGAAGGATGACCAGTGTTCCATCCAACAACACAAAACACATTTCTTCATGAGGTGGGGTGAGTTGTTGGTTTTGTTGTTGTTGTATGTTGTTGTTGTTGTTGTTGTTGTATGTTGTATGTTGTTGTTGTTGTTGTTGTTGTTGGTGTTGTTGTTGTTGTTGTATGTTGTTTGTAGTGTTGTTGTTATGTTGTTGTTGTTGTTGTTGTTGTTGTTGTTGTTGTTGTTGTTGTGTGCTCCCTTATTTGTTGTTGTTATTGTTGTGCTATTCTTATTTCCTGATGGTACTATAGCTACTTATGTTTTCATCTATATTGATGCTGTGTTTATGTTGTGATGCTGTTCCGTTATGCCCTGTTAGTAAGCATCAGCGGTGTGTGTGTGTGAGACTTACCAGGTAAAGCCCTGTTTGGAGTGTGGTGAGGGTAGGGGGGTAGGGAAGGCTTAACATTGACAATTGTTCAGTTAAATTTGCATACATCAAGGCCTTTCTCACCATGATATACTGTAGGCTGCGGGCAGAGTGTGACGTGATGTCCGAGGATGTGATCAAGTGGTTTGGTTAGGTTAGGTTTAGCAGGTGAAGACAAAAGATGTAGTTTGTTGGGGTTTTTTGTTGGAATGAGTTGAGTACTAATGATTGGCACTTAGTTGAGGGTGAGATCGAGGGTTAGGTTAGGTTGGGTTGGATAGACATAACCTACAAGATGATATTGAATTAGTTGAGATAGTGGTATACACGTGACCGTTAGTGTGGTATACACGTGACCGTATAAGTGTGTGGTACACGTGACCGTAAAGTGTGGTATACCGGTAATGACTGTCTTGCTGAGCCACGCCCACAACAGGAACAGTAATGGAATCAACACGCCCTTGATCATGTCACCCCGCCCTGCGTCTCTCTGCCCCCCCGGCTTTACCTACCCAATAGGCGTGTGAGACGGTGGACTTGGTCACATTAACATGACGTATCCATCAAAATTACTCATATTTAATAATGTTTACTTGCCAATTGTCTAACACACACACACACACACACACACACACACACACACACACACACACACACACACCCTTGGTCACTAACGACAAAAAATTAATTAAAATCACATATAACTTGTTGTTTTCCTTCTGTAATGACTAAACTGTTAATTCATAATATAATAATTTATCCTTCCCAGTTTACACACGACATCACCGTATAAGGGACCATCTAGCCTAGCGAGTCTCGGTAAATTAGATAACTATGTTTTCGTCGACACTGTTTATGAAGGACAAACTGTTTTTATATACGGTGCATATACGCCAACAGACAAGTGATAATATAAGAGGTGAAGAGGTGAGAGGTGAGAAGAAAGAAGGCTGCAGTGTGTGGAGGGCCGACCAGTGGGGAGTTACGGCATTTAGAAATAATATTAAACTGTTCCAGAAGACACCAGGAACTAGTACACGGAAGAGGTGAACCAGAAACACCATTTGGTCTATATAACACCTTCTTACTACAGTGGTGTATCACATTACCTATTATAGACGAGGACAAAGCTTAGCGTGGAAATGCTATAAGTAAAAAAATAAAACAAAAACATTAAAATATATATAAAAGTAAAGAAAAGCTCCACCAGATATAGAGCTGTAAACTGTGTATAAAAATAAATAAAAAAAAATCAATGAGGGGGAAGACCTGGTTAACAGACAACTGGGACGATGGATTGAGTTACATGCGAACAATAACAACTGAATAACCGGCAAAGATCAGACGTAGGATTGATTAGGATTGATTGGTTGATTGATTTATTGGTTGTGGTAATAACATCCTGGCGACACAACAGCTTAGGTCATGTGTCGTGATGATTCAGGATAACGACCTTGTGTACGAGGAGAATGACTACAGTAACACACTAAATAAACTATATATATATTAATATTCAGTAGAGTTTCATTATTAATATAATTATCTAACAGCCGAACTTATCCATAACCTAATCCAAACCAAACAATAGCTTAACCTAACCTAACCTAATCCCTAGCCTAATCCAACCTAACCTAACCTAACCTAACCTAACTTAACGTAACCTATCCATAAACCTGACCTAACTTGACCTCACCTAACCAAACAATAACCTAACCAAACAATTGCCTAACCAAACTTAACGTAACCTATCCAAACCCGACCCCACTTAACCAAACTTAACTAAATAATAACCTAACCTAACTTAACCTAAGCAAACTTAACCTAACCTATCCTAACCATAAGCCTTGACTAACTTAACGTAACCTACGCATGAACTTAACCCAACCTCATCAAACCCCAACCTAACTCAACCTAATCCAAACATCAAAAATAAACCAAACCAACCAGATTAAACCAAACCAGATTAAACCAAACCTAACCTAACCAGATTAAACCAAACCAAAACCAACCCAACCACATTAAACCAAACCTAACCTAACCATTAAACCAAACCTAACCTAACCACATTAAAACCAAACCCAACCAGATTAAACCAAACCTAACCTAACCTAACCAGATTAAACCAAACCGAACCTAACCAGATTAAACCAAACCGAACCTAACCAGATTAAACCAAACCAAACCTAACCAGATGAAACCAAACCGAACCAAACCTAACCAGATTAAAACCCAAACCGAACCAACCTAACCAGATTAAACCAAACCGAACCTCTCAGCTCAACACCAACAGCTTCCAACACCAGTACCAAAGCTGATAAGTTAGGGTGTACAACAGGGCGATCTGAGGCGAACAATGACGAATAGTTCAGGATATTATTTCTCCACCCCTCCATGGAGGAACAAGGAACGAGCTACCCCTGGAGTGAGCACCCTCCCCCCTCCACCCTCCAGGTCCCACTGCGGTGACCGGGCAGGAAAGCAGCGACCTTTTATAAACAAGTCTTTGCTTGTAAGTCCGCATGAGCCAACATAAGACAGGAATTTTCTAGCATTCCATGTTAAATTTTATCCACTATCCGGTTGTTAAGTGTAATTTGATCTACGTTAAGGTCGAGTCTCGGTTAATCTGCCTCTTAACTTACGAGAATTCTTGATAATCTCGGTGAGATATCTCGGTCTATCATTTAAGTTAAGTTCTCAGGACCAAGATTCTCAGAGGAATTTACAGTATTTTTCTCCACACACGACTGGAGAACAGCCTCCACCTGCTGTCTTCCTTAACTTGGCTACAACCACAACACATTAACGACAACAAGTTATTACACCACAGTTATGAGGCTTTGAATAGATGAACTTAGAGACTCTTGAACCCGAAGTTATAAAGCTTTGAGCAGATGAACCTTAAAGACTTGAACCCGAAGTTATAAAGCTTTGAGCAGATGAACCTTAGAGACTTGAACCCCGAAGTTATAAAGCTTTGAGCAGATAAACCTTAGAGACTCTGAACCCCGAAGTTATAAAGTTGAACAGATGAACCTTAGAGACTCTGAACCCCGAAGTCATAAAGCTTTGAGCAGATGAACCTAGAGACTCTGAACCCCAGTTATAAAGCTTTGAGC